GAAGAAGGAGCTGAAAATTGATATACAAGAAGCAAGAAGAACACCAAACTTCCACGACGAAAGAAAAAATACAGCAAGACACATAATAGTAAAGCTCCCAAGAATCCAGGACAAGGAAAAAATAATGAAGCTGGCAAGAGGGAAGAAACAGATAACATTCAAAGGAAAGCCAATCAGGCTGACATCAGACTTCTCCGAAGAAACACTACGGGCAAGGAGAGAGTGGACAGTCAACAGACTCCAAGAAAACAGATGCCAACCAAGAATACTCTATCCCGCAAAGCTCTCCTTCCTCTTTGAAGAAAGAATATGGACCTTCCCAGACAAAGAGAAACTCCGGAATTTCATTGCAACTAAACCCCCACTCCAAAAAATACTACAAGGAGTCCTAAAGCCAGAACCTCAGAGGGACGAATAACAATGAAAGAAGGCCAAAAAAAAAAAGTTATTAAAAGAATAAATAAATAAAATCAAAGGAAAGACAAACACAATGGCAAATACAGATGTTAACATATCAATATTAACTCTAAATGTAAATGGACTAAACTCTTCAATAAAAAGACACAGAGTTGCAGCCTGGATTAAGAAACAAAACCCAACCTTTTGCTGTCTCCAGGAAACACATTTAGCTACAAAAGATAAAATAGGCTCAAAGTCAAAGGATGGAAAACAATCCTACAAGCAATGGCCAAAAAAGAAAGCAGGAACAGCTATACTTATATCAGATAAAACAGATTTCAAACTCAAAAAGATAAAAAGAGACCCCAATGGTCACTACATTATGATCAGGGGACAATACTTCAAGAAGAAATAACACTCATTAACATATACTCACCAAACGAAGGAGCACCAAAATATATCAGACAACTGTTGTCTTCTCTGAAAACAGACATCAGAGAAAACACATACGTAGTGGGAGACTTCAACACACCACTATCAACAATGGATAGATCAACAAGACAAAAAATAAGTAAAGAAACCAAAGCTCTAAATAAGGACCTAGAGCAATTGGGCTTAACAGACATCTATAGAACACTAAACCCCAAAAAAAACGGAGTACACATTTTCTCAAGCGCACACGGATCATTTCTCCAGGATCGATCACATACTGGGGCACAAGACAAACATCAACAGATACACCAAGATTGAAATCATACCAACCATCTTTTCTGACCATGAAGGCATCAAACTAGAACTAAACCATAAAAAGAAGGCAAGGAACTTTCCTACCTCATGGAGATTAAAAACCACACTACTGGAAGACCACTGGACTAATGAGGAGATCAAAGAAGAAATTAAAAAAATTTTTGAATTGAACGACAAGGAGGACACCAATATAAATGTATGGGATGCAGCAAAAGCAGTAATAAGAGGAAAATATATAGCAATAGAAGCTCACATCAAGAAACAAGAAAGAACTCAAAGAAACACCTATCTCGAAGCTCAAAGATCTAGAAAAAAAAGAACAACAAAAAAACCCCAAAACCAGTAGAAGAAAAGAAATAATAAAAACCAAAGCAGAAATAAATGAAATTGAAACTAAAAAAACAATCCAAAAGATCAATGAAACCAAGAGCTGGTTCTTTGAAAAAATCAATAAAATAGACAAACCCCTAGCCAGGCTCACAAAGGAAAAAAGGGAGAAAGCACAAATAAACAGGATCATCAATGAAAGAGGAGAAATCACAACGGACACAGCAGAAATCAAAAGAATAATCAGTAACTACTATGAACAGTTATATGGAAATAAGTTTAATAATCTAGAGGAGATGGACAAATTCCTACAACTCTACAATCACCCAAAGCTAGATAAAGAAGAAATAGAACACCTAAACAGACCAATTACAATTAGCGAAATTGAAATGGTAATCAAAAACCTCCCCAAAAACAAAAAGCCCAGGACCTGATGGATTTACAAATGAATTCTACCAAACATTCAGAGACGAATTAGTGCCTATCCTTCACAAACTCTTCCAAAAAATTGAGAAGGAAGGGACAATACCAAACACGTTCTATGAAGCCAATATTACACTAATACCAAAACCGAACAAGGACAACACTAAAAAGGAAAACTATAGGCCAATCTCCCTAATGAACACTGATGCAAAAATCCTCAATAAAATTTTAGCCATCAGAATCCAACAATGTATCCATAAGATAATTCACCACGACCAAGTAGGATTCATTCCAGGGGCACAAGGATGGTTTAACATCCGAAAATCAATCAACGTTATCCAACACATCAACAAAAAGAAATATAAAAACCATATGATAATATCAATAGATGCTGAGAAAGCTTTCGACAAAGTGCAACACCCATTCATGATAAAAGCCCTTGAAATTCTTGGGATACAAGGAACATACCTCAACATCATAAAGGCCATCTATGACAAGCCAACAGCCAGCATCATTCTCAATGGTGAAAAGCTGAAAGCAATTCCATTAAGATCTGGAACAAGACAAGGATGTCCACTCTCACCACTGCTTTTCAATATAATACTGGAAGTCCTAGCCAGGGCAATAAGACAAGAGAAAGACATCCAAGGAATCCAAATAGGAAAAGAAGAAGTCAAACTATCACTATTTGCAGACGATATGATATTATACATAGAGAACCCCAAAAACTCCACAGAAAAGCTAGTTCAACTCATCAATCAGTTCAGTAAAGTGGCAGGATACAAAATCAACATGCAAAAATCAGTAGCCTTCCTATACACAAACAATAAATCTGAAGAAGAAGAAATCAAAAAAACCATCCCTTTTGTTATTGAAACAAAAAAAATCAAATATTTGGGAATAAATCTAACAAAAGAGATAAAGGACCTATACAAAGAAAACTATAAAACACTGTTAAAAGAAATAGAAGAAGACACAAAGAAATGGAGAGACATCCCCTGCTCGTGGATTGGAAGAATAAACATTATTAAAATGGCCATCCTTCCAAAAGCAATATACAGATTCAATGCTATTCCAATCAAAATTTCAATGTCATTCTTCAAAGAAATAGAACAATTATTGATGAAATTCATATGGAATCACCAAAACCCCGAATAGCCAAAGCTCTCCTGAAAAAAAAAAAGGGAATGGAGGCATTACACTCCCAGACTTCAAACTATACTACAAAGCCATAATCATCAAAACTGCATGGTATTGGAACAAGAACAGACATACAGACCAATGGAATCGAATAGAAAATCCAGAAATAAATCCACAGATTTATGGTCAACTAATCTTTGACAAAGGAGCAAAGACTATGCATTGGAGCAAAGAAAGTTTGTTCAATAAATGGTGCTGGGAAAACTGGGTCGCTACATGCAAAAGAATGAAGCTTGACCACTACCTCACACCATACACAAAAATCAACTCAAAATGGATTAAAGAACTAGACATAAGACCTGAAACCATAAAATATATAGAAGGAAATATAGGCGAAACACTACGTGATCTGCACATCAAAGACATCTTTACAGACACATCACCCAAAGCAGTGATAGTGAAGGCAAAGATAAACAGCTGGGACTACATCAAATTAAAGAGCTTCTGCACAGCAAAAGAGACAATAACAAAAACAAAGAGAAACCCCACCAACTGGGAGAACATTTTTGCACCCAACACTAATGATAAAGGACTGATCACAAAAATCTGCAAAGAGCTGATGAGACTCAGCAACAACAAAGAAAATAATCCAGTCAAAAAATGGGCAGAAGAGCTAAAAAGAAACTTCTCTGAAGAGGAAATGCAAATGGCCAACAGGCATATGAAAAAATGTTCAACATCACTTGCCATCAGGGAAATGCAAATCAAAACTACCATGAGATACCATCTTACACCAGTGAGAATGGCACATATTAAAAAAACTAGCAACAACAAATGCTGGCGAGGGTGTGGAGAAAAAGGAACTCTTCTGCACTGTTGGTGGGAGTGCAAACTGGTCCAACCACTGTGGAGAGCTGTGTGGAGATTTCTGGACCTACTAAACATAGAGCTTCCATATGATCCAGCAATTCCACTCCTAGGTATTTACCCAAAGGACACAGAAACATCAATTCCAAAGAACACCTGCACCCCTATGTTTATAGCAGCACTGTTTACAATAGCTAAGCTTTGGAAACAACCCAAATGCCCAAAATAGATGACTGGATCAAGAAGATGTGGTACATATATACCATGGAATATTACTCAGCATTCAAAAAGATAAACACATGCAATTTGCAGCAACATGGATGGCGCTGGAAGGGATCATGCTCAGCGAAATAAGCCAAAAGAAAAAGAAAAATACCGGATGGTCTCACTCATAGCAGGAATCTAGAAAACTTAAATAAGGGACCAGGAAAATGAATAACTATAAGAAAGTGAAAATCAAAATCAACAAAAAACTATGAACCAGAGACACTTTTAGGCGGGCGGGGGCGGGAGGGGAGGGATTGGGGTCAGAATGGGGGGCTGCAATTGTATGGGGAATATAACAATAAAATTTATAAAAAAAAAAAACAAAAAACAAATAAAACAACATGTTATCAGAAAAAAAAAAATAAAATGCTAAATTTTCTGGGAGGGAAAAAAGGAAAAAAAAAAAAAAAAAAAATCTCAATCATGTTGAACGTGCTGGCTCTTCTCATGCGAGGGCCAGTTACTGCTTTTCAGTTAATTCCTTCACTGGGCCAATAAAACGATGTAGTTGATTAACAAAAGAGAATTAGAATTTTGAAAGAGAAAACAATTTTAACTATGAAAAAGGGAGTTTTGGTGGATTTTCTTTGTGGCAATATGAGTTTGCCAAGATCACTGACTTAAAAATAATCTCTGTTGATGTCTCTCTTATGTTAATAATTCAACAGAGCCATGTCTTCCTTTGCCTCACCTTGTCTTCTTAATGTTGTAATTGAGATGACATTTCAAACTTACGTGCTGAACTCCTTACTACTTAGTGTCAGTCGGAGGAATGGAGAGGTAATTCCCTTAATTAAGAAAATCAAGAGTTAAAAAAAATAAAGGCATACCTGGTCACGAGCCGTTTGAAAGCGAAGGGAGTGTCTTTGTGGTTTGTGAGTACCGCAGGGGACAGCCATAGCGGACGAGGCCTCTGCCAGGGCAGGCGTATTATGTTTACTTATCAAACCGGTCAAGGATTCTGAAGTGACCTCGTCTGGAAGTCAGTCTTCATTCATTCAACAAATGTTGCTGGAGGGCCTCCTGTGTCCAGGCGCTGTGCCAGGTGCTGGGCCCGAGGGCTCTCAGCCTCTGGACCTCAGTGTCTGATGCAGGAGAAAGGCAGAAATAATTGTAAAATGCTGCCGTGCCCCATTTGATTGCAGATGGTGCAGATTTTGCACACAAGGGACCTGTGGCAGCCTGTGTCTCTTGGTGCCGTTTCTAACCTTGTGGGCTCACGTGTCCCTGTGTCGTGTCCGGCATCATGCACTTCATAGACTGCAGTGTGAACATGACCCCGACACGCACTGGGAAACCAGTCTGAGCGACCGTTGGCGGCCTGGAGCTAAACCCGCTGTGTCTCTGAGATAGGCCTCTGTCACCGTAGCTTAATACGATACAGTTGTGGATGACGTTCTGTGTGAGGACGTGGTGACGTGGGAGGGACAGGACCACTGCAGGAACCTTCTCCACAGATGCTGAGATTCCCTCTCTTCTCTGCTTACTTTATTCTCATGGAATTTTTGAAACTGATCCCAAACATTTTATTTTACAGATAAATAATCCAATCTATATCTCTAACAGATTAGGGCTTTGAAAAACAAACAAAAACTAATCACACGGCAGGGACAGGTAACACTGATTCCTTCGCATCGTGTAATAAAATCGGTGCGGCCCAAAGTCACACTTCCCTGATTTTCTCAAACGATGGTTTTACGGTTGGTGTGAGTTGTCAAAATAGGTGGCACACGTGTGTTTGGCTGTTGTTTCTCAAGTCCATTTTATGCTTTCTACAGCATTGCCTGTAGTAGGAAAAAAAATTGAATAACTGGGACAATAGTCATGTCCATTAAGTAGGCAATGGGTTGGTCTATCACCAGGATTAAAGGGGAACGGGTGGGAGGGGTTGTTCATTTCTCCATCAACACCCCTATAGTCGTTGACTTGTACAAAGCAAGTGTTATTTTTATACCCAGAGAGAAACTCTGAATGAAGATGGAGCCAGGATAACTGAACCGCTTCCACTGCTGTGCTCCTCGTGAGGTCTTTGATGAGGCAGCTTTGCATAGGCAGTTCCCCTGGGAATTTGGTCAGGATCCCCCCCCTGTTTTTTTTTTTTTTTAATAGAGTCTTACTTGGTATGGGGTAGCAGTGAGCCGGGGCGGGGGGTGGGGGGGTGGCCTGGAAAGTGCATCAGGGGTTATTGCCTAACATCTTGGGCCAGTTTCTGAATCATGCACGACTATGGCTGGAGAATCCTGGTCCGTCCCAAACTGGGCACAGATCTGTTGGTTCTGTGCTGTGTTGGTGACGTGGGACTGAGCATCACTGTCTGCGTGTAACACGGTCTGTTTTCTTCTGTCCCCCTCTCCCCGCAGGCTTCGACCATGCTAAGAGCCTCATTGGCACCCGTGTAAGTAATTGCTCTTAGGAATCACTGCTCAGGAGAATTCCAAGCAGCTCCAGTCAGCGCGCCTCTTAGCAGCCTAGCTTGAGGGAATGCCTCTGAGCACCTAGAGCTCGGTGTGGCTATTGGAGAAAATAACACCAATTTTATTTTTATTTATTTATTTATTTTTTTAAGGTTTATTTATTTATTTATACAAGCACTGGGTACAGTCAGAAGCGTGGGAGGGCGAGAGAACTCACCAGAGCCAGAGCGGGGAGCAGAGCAGGCAGAAGGACCAAAGCACACTGCTGAGGGGAGCAGCAGGCGGCAGGAGAGGTCTGTGCGCCATGTGGGACCCTCCTCCGATGGCTGGGGAGGAGCCAGGGATCGAACTGGCACTACAGAGGCTGCGGGCAGCTTTGCAACCCAGTGCTCAACCGCTGCGCCACCGGGAAGGCCCTCCAATTTTAAGTAATGTTGCTCAGCTAGAAGTATCTTTTAACATTTACTCGATTTTGGAGAGGTGGCATCAAATGGAAAAAGCTGTTGAATTGTTCCTGTGCTACTCTAGAGAAATCATTTTAATCCGTTGTCCCCGAGCACAACACAGCACTGCAGAGGCCTAATTTTATGCTCCCTGCTGGTCCACATGGGGACCAGGACCACAGGCAGCTTTTGTACACCTAAGCATTCCTGTCCAGATTTGAGGGGTGTCACCCAGGAGGGCACCCAGGGCACGGGAAACTCATCAGGTGTGAGGTTGCAGAAGCAAGGAAGTTGAGAACCTTTGTTTGGACCAGAGGACTTGGGTGGGTTCTGGGAGCCTCTGAGCCAGCCATGATGGGGAAGGATTTGCTATGAGAATATTCAGAACCAAGAGAGATGCCACACCCTTCCCTCTGCTCCACCTGCGTCCGACGCTGGCCCGCACTTCATTCTCTCCCGGGGCTCTGTGAGGTAACACTCTCGAGCCCAGACTGCCCAGGTTAAAATCCCACCTCTGACACTGGCTCTCGCACCCTGGACATCTTTGATAGCCTCTCTGTGCCTCAGTTTCCTCACTTGTAAAGTGAGAATAGTCATAGTAGCTTGACTGCTAGATTATTGTGGGGACAAAAAGAGTTAATATGTAGAAAGCACTTAGTACAGTGTCTCGCACTTCAACTGTTGGGAAGTTTGTCATTGTCCTTCCCAGTGACAGAAGAGGCGGGGTCACTGCAGAGAGTAAAAGGGCCAGGGGAGGACGGAGTAGATGGTGTGATAGTCTCCTGGGCAGCGGGAGAGTGGATGGACCACACACAGGGGTTGCAGAGCAACTTAGATGGTGATATTGCCACTGTTGGAGAGGGTAATGGCCCAAATCTGGCATTTTCCTCCTCTTCAGTAGAAGATTATCAGAACATTATCAAATTTGGCTTTACAGTTGGAACTTATTTTTTAATCTAGAGCAAGAGCTTGTTTAAATTTTAAATTATTTTTTTATTTTGAAATAATTTGAGTTGCAAAAATAGTACAAAGAACTCCCCATATCCTTCGCCCAAGATCCCCCAGTGTTAATATTTTATGCAAGGCAAGTAGAATCATTAAACTCAAAATCCTAGTGTCTATACAGTTATCTGATCTGCAGACCCGATTCCTGCTTTCCCGACTGGCTCTGCTCCGGCAGGCAGCCCAGAACCACGCACAGCCTGAGTGTCAGCCCCCAATCTCCTCTGATCCACCTCTCCCGGTCTTTCATGGCCTCGACATTTTTAAAGAATACCGGCCAGTTATTAATATGGGGTTGTCAGAAAAGCCATGGCGCGATTTTTCAAAGAATAAACATGTCATGACTTTTCCGACGACCCAATAATTGGCAATTTAGTGTCTGCCTCAGGAGGAAACACTCAAAGGAAGTGGGTTTATCATTGGTGTAAAAAACACATGAAAACAGGAGATTTCATCTGTTGCCATCTTTTCTTGCCATTTCTTCCAGACCCTCTAAAAGGATCTCATTTTGTCTTTTAAAACCAACATTAAAAATAGTTTGTAATTTTTTTACTACATCATAGGAGCTCATTACAGAAAAGTTAACGCTGAGAAACATAAGGAGAAAATGTAAGCTACACCTCGGAGGTGTTATCGCAGTTTCCACCCCACCCTAAAAACAAGCCAAACCTCCTATCTTTCATCTTTTCACCTAACACTTCATAAAATCCCATTTACTGTTGTGCAGGGACTATTACTTGGTCAAGATTATTTCCAAGTAAGGTAACCAAGAGCAAAAACATGCTCCTTCTCATATCGTGCAGGTCAAGAGGGGGGGTGTCCCTGTGAGGCAGGTGTAGCTCAACGTGCAAATCTCCTCAGGGGGCTCCCCCACTCTTGACCTGCACAGTATTAGAAGGAGCATGTTTTTGCTCTTGGTTTTCTTATTTTGAAATAATTACAGATTTGCAGGTGGTTAGGCTGCAGCCTCCTCACTGGTGGCGTCTCCACACTGGAACCAACAATGACACAGTGCCATGAACAGGCCGCGGAGCTCACAGCTCCCCACATGCGCCCGTCTCCTCCCCTACAAAGCAACAAAACCAAGCGGGAAGGCCTTTGATTTAGCGACAGGAATCTGAGGAGGCGCCTTTGTTTCTGACTGACCAAGGGCAGGTGTTGGCCCTTCGCACTGGGTCGAGCTCTCAGCAGAGGCCTCTCTTAGCTGGAATGACATCCCCGAGGCCTGTGACTGGGCGTCCCCTGAGGAGGGTTTGCAGGGCGGGCTATACCTGCCTCACAGGGACCCCCCCCCAACTCCTTACCTTGGAGGGTTGTGTGCCGCACCTTGGCCCCAGGCCTGTCCCTCACATGCCCCCAATCAGGTCCCCAGGCTCGGAGGCTCAGTGGCTTCACATTGTTAGGTAGACCTCTCCCTTGGGGCCTCCCGAGGCTAGCAGTCCCTGGGCTTTGTGCAGCATTCTAAATAGAACTCAGGAAGTCACAGTGGCTCCAAGTGACCTCGTCCCTGTCATATGGAGCCCTGGCCTTATGTGAATGCAGCGCGTCCAGCCCTGTTTAGGGAAAGACCCTCAGCTGAGGAAAAATGTCATGAAAAGCCCTCATATGTACAACCCAAGTGGCAGGGCTTTGCCCCGAAGCTGCAGCGGGGAGCCCGGAACCCAGCCCTGACTATGGAAGCCTTGAGTGCACTCCAGAGCACAGAGGAAACAGCTGGGCCCCTGCTGGTCATTCAGTCAGGGCAGCTCCGGGTAGGGCCTCGCTCCTCAGGAGGCTTAGTGAGCGTGCCCTTCTGCCCTCTCCTTTCTCTTTGAACTTGTGTTGCTGAGCAGGAAGCTGAAGGATGTGCCATTACTGCCCTCCTTGGATTATGAGAAGCTGAAGAAGGATCTGCTCTCCGGGAGTGACCGCTTGAAAGCCTTCCTGTTGCAGGCTCTGCGCTGGGTACGTGCCTTACCCTCCACCTTCAGAAGTCAGCCGTGCTGGCTTTCCTGGCTGGCTGCCATGCGGGTACCTTCTCACTCACCTCCTAAATATCTTTCCTCCTCCTGCTGCTGACACCAAGAGCTGAAGTTAAAACAGCTTTTGCAGATCCCCCGCGGCACCCTCATCCTTGCCATTGGCTTTGCTCGGTAGCTGGATAACTGGACACATGCAGCGTCCAAGCCCAGGCCATGCTGATCACCTGGTCTTTGCAGGCCATGGGCCGCGCTGGCTCCTGGCCAGCAGGGCACCTCTAGGGGGACACGAAGACCCTATGTCCTGCCACAGGGCAGACAGCAAGGGTGAAACCTGTCAGCCAGGCTTTAAGGCAAATGGCGCTCAGTTGTCGCTTTTCTGACCATGTCCACAGTTTAAACCACTCACAGTTTAAATCAGTGGTTCTCAGGCTTTTTAGCCTCAGACCCCTTCGTTCTCTCAACCTGAGGACCCCAAAGAGCTTTAGTTTCTGTGAATTTTTTTCTGTCTGTTTACAGTATTAGAAATGAAAACTGAGAACACTTTACATACACATTTTAACTATATAAAATATAATTTAATATATCACAGATGATAATAACATGAAAATGTAAGTATCTGTTTAACTCATTTGAGATGAGCAATGCTAAACCCAGCACATAACACAGATCACATTTTTATAAGAAATAACTATTTTCCAAACTCTCGAAAAACATGAGAAGAATGCCGTTGCTTTTCGTTTTTGCAAATTTCTGTCAAGTCTGGCTTACTGGACGAAGCTGGGGCTCCTACCTGCTTCTGCGTTCCCTGTCACGCCATCACACTTCCCATAGCCTCTGGGATGGGTCGTGAAAATAAGAGTGACCCAGCAGATCCCCTGAAAGAATTCTGGGGTTCCCCAGGCAGCACGTGGAGAACTGCTGGCCTACGCCAACAGTGGGTGACTCTTTAACTTTCACCCCTTCACGATCCCAGAATTTCAGGTATCTAGGCGTCCAAATGCCTTTCAGCACTTTCCCCATCTCTGGATAGAGAAAGGAGTCCCCCCGTACTTCCGAAGGCCCTAGGCCTTCCTGGAACCTGGTTTTGAGCGGTTTTGAGGAGCGCTCAGAGATGGCATCCAGGTTCAGCAGAGGCCTGGGTCCTTTGTGAGGCAGCTCTGTCTTGTTTGAGCTGCATGTTGGGCTGAGTGGGGCAGCCACCCTCCCGCTCCCGTCAGCAGACCAAGCTCTTCCTCTCAGTGCAGGCGACTGAGCCGTTTGGAGAGAGACGTGTTCCTGTACAGATTGGGTGACATCGTCAGAATAACCAGGAAAAACAAGTTTCCTATGATTTTGTCTGTCCCCGTCCAGCGCCCCAGCCTCTCCCCTCCACCCTACTCTGTGCCTGCCCTGGCCTCAGTGTGCACGACAGAAAGTGGCAGCTGCCAGATGAGACCCTCCTGGCACCACCACCTCTCGTGTACCCTCTTCCTTGTCAGCAACGCCTGCTCGGGAGACCCCTCCCTTGCAGTTCTGGGGGTCTGCTGTGCTCCCATCTCCCTACACTGCTCTGTACACCGACGCTGCTCTTCAGCAGGGCCTGCACGCTTGGCCCTTTGTCTAGTCAGATTTTCCCAGAAGAGCAAGGACATTTACTCAAGTTAATTACACAGCTTTCAGGTGGCGTAACTCAGGCTGCACAGCATGTGCTGACGCAGGCTCCCACTCGATTTTCTTCTAGCCCCGTGGATGTCAACTAGATTCTTAACAGACCTATGGCTTGTCAAAACCTATAGACTCTGCCCCAACCACCTCTTACACACACGGGTGCAGACACACACACACACACACACACACACACACACATACACATACACAGTGTTGCTGAGCCCGTCCTTGTTGGAGAAAGTCTCATCTGTTGGCACGGCCCTCCTTCAGGGCCCGCTCCTGTCTACCCTGTGCCTCCCTGAGCTGGGCCCTCCTCCACCCCACACACCCAGGCCTCTGCTCCTCCTCCAAGGGCCAAGTCTTGAGCCCCAGGCACTGGAGAACGCCCCCTTCTGCACTCACTACCCAGGCGTTTGGTCATTTCCCTGCTCTGGTGACTTCGTAAGTTGACTCCAGCCTCCCCTCTGTCCCTTGAGGAGGCACACTGGCAGTTCCTGGTCAGCTGACTGGTTGGCTGGTGTAACCAGGTCTGTTAAATGGGTAGTCGTGGAACTGCCGTTTCAAACAACCCCACTGTGCTAAGACTTCGGTCTGATCACTCTTGTTTTCCTTCATCCCAGCGCTTGACCACGTCCCACCCCGGAGAGCAGCGGGAGACGGTGCTGCAGGCCTACATCAGCAATGACCTCTTGGACTGTCAGAGCCACAGCCAGGTGGGTGGGACGCGGTCGGGGCGCAGCGGGGCCTTCATTCCCAAGGAATGAGCTTGGCCGGCCCGGCGGCTTCTACGTGTATTCTCAGCACAGTGACCGTATGTCAGCCTGGAGCTTGTGTGAGCTAGTGAGGTCTGCTTTCACCCACCTCTCACTTCCAGTAAAGTGCCCTGGCCTGGCCAGTTGGGATGGGTGGGCTCCACGCTGCAGCCCTCTCTGCCCTTTTCATTTTTCTCAGATTTCCAGCTCTTTCCCTCACCCCACACTCACCACGAGTCCTGAAACACCAAGCGTGACTCATGAGGAGCAAAGTCGGTAGCAAGCCTGTTCACAGCTTCATCTGGGCCTGACTTAAAATGCTTTTCCAGGAATTTGTGAGAGCTGAGGACCAGGCAGGCCTGCGATGCAGTGGGAAAAGTGAGGGTTTTGGGGGGAGATGGTGGTGGCACGCCCCTCCCTGCCACCACGGCCAGGTGGCCTTGAGCAGGGCCTCCTGAGCTGTGGGCTGACTGTAGGCAGCCGAGCCAGGACCTCACTTTAGTCACGATCTACACCAAAAAACTTGAATCAAATTAGATCAAGTTGCAGTGAACTGAATTTTCATTTTTAACTGGTCGTTTGGACATCTTGGAGCTACTGTGATGTCGTTTTCCACATTTCACACCTTTACCGGTCTCATACACACACACATTTATGCAAAGACACGACTCCTTATATCTAAGGAATTTTGTTTTATTGTCCAGAGTAGATTTTAGTTATGAAATACGTGATTCACACAGATGAGTGTAGAAAACAGGAATATTTTAAAGAATAATTATAAACAGATCGCTGATGTTATGAAAAAATAGAGACCAGGAACTTGGAAGCTTCTAGATTATACCCCCTTTCCTTTTAGCAAGAGGTAACCACCCTCCTGACTTACTTTTAAACTGTGGTAAAATACACAGAACATAAAATGTACCGTCTTCACCATCTTTAAGGGTTTGGTTTTAGTGGTATTCATCACACTTAGCATTGTTGTGCATCCCGTCTCCAGAACTCTGTCCTGCAAGACTGAAACTCTGTACCCATTAACTGAGTACTCTCATTGCCCCTTCCCCACCCCTGCCACCACCCTGCTTTCTGTCCCTGAATCTGGCTGCCCCGGGTACCTCATGTCCATGGAATCATACAGCGTTAGTCTTTTGGTGACTTGTTATGCTTAGCACAGCGTCCTCAAGGTTCATCCGCGTTGCAGTGCGCGTCAGAGGTGGAATGTTTCTTTGGGTGTGTGGACCACATCTGGGCCCCCAGTCATTCGTCAGTGGCCGCTGGGATGCTTCTGCCTCTTGGCTGCTGTGAATAGTGCCGTGTTGAATGTGGTGGACACATCCCGGCCTGTGTTAGTCATCCCCTGTGTTTCCCCATCTGTGTGTGTGCCCGAAATAATAAAGGGCTTGATTTTGTGCTCGCTGAACTGCGGGCACAGACCCTGCCCTGCAAGGAAGGGACTCTGTTCCCGTGACAGAGGACGACACCCAGGAGAGAAGGACGTGAAATCCCAAGTCATAGCCAGACGCAGCCGCCTGCACGCTCGCTCCTCTCCGGAGCAGTGGTGGTGAAGGTGGAAGAACCCGGCAGAGTATATGGCATGTGCAGGGCCGAAGGGTCAGTCAGGTTGCAGAATCTGTGGCCAAGGGCACCGGCAACTGCTGTTGCTGGAGGGAAAGGGGGTGTAATCTAGAAGCTTCCAAGTTCCTGGTCTCTATTTCTTCACAATATCAGCAATCTGCTTATTTTAGCTTTTAGACTCACCTGGTCTCGTTCTCAGGCGCTGATCACTTGAGACACTTCTATGGGGGCAAGAAACTGTCTACAGGCAATCCTCACAGCAGGACGGAAGGGGGCTCCGGAATTTTATCAGTACAAGGTCAAGGCTGTCCCAGCACAGACGAGAGTTGGGCTCACCTTTCCCCTGTGTGTTGAATTCTGTTCAAAAATATGTGTGTGTGTGAGGGTAGGGCCTGTAGACCTAGCAACGCACCCTGGGGGGCCCAGGTGGCCTTCTGCTAGGGACCTCTGATTTCAGAATCCCCAGTTCTCTCCCCTCCCGACTATCCTTTCCCTCTGAGGAGCACCCTCCAGTCTGCCTCAAGAGTGAGGGGCCGGCTGCAGTGTGCTGAGCCTGGTAGGGGCAGAGGACGGGGTGCTCTCTGCTCAGCGTTCATCTCCCCTCTTGCTGTAGCACTGCACTCACCTGGCCCCCGTCCTTTGTGACCCTTAGTGTTACCCACAGAAGAGAACACCCCAGACGTGTGGGTGGTTCCAAGAGGATGGTGCTGAGGCGCCTGAGGGGGACCCAGCTGCGTCTGTAACCACGCGCACTCATTCTTCTTTGTTCTTGCCAATTCACCAGCCTTTTGAGGCCAGTGATATAACCTGGATCCCTCATCGCCATTGCTGCCTTGGGATCTGGCTTTTTTGAGTCGGCTGCATCTGTTAGCATCTGCATCGCTGACTGCGAGATTGAGTTGTTCCAGTTGCTTGTCTGTCCTCTGTCCTGGGGGGCGTACGCGGGGCTCAGACACCCACTGCCTGTAGCCGCAGGATGCCGGGAGGCAGCAGTTTCAGGTGTGCGGGTTGGATGTTGTTCTAAGCTGGGAAAACAGCAGCAGCAGCAAACAGCGCTGCTGCTTCTGTGTGAGTCGCCTTCCCAGGGCCCATGTCACCGAGTCTCTTAAAAGTCCGAATAACTCTTCTGGCCAATCTCGTAAAACACCCACTGGAAATCAAGCTCTCCACACAGTTCCCTTGGCTGTTGTCTGTCTCTGTCACTTGTAATGAATTCAGAAGAGATCACCAGGCCACAGAGGGGATGTTTCTCTCTCGCTCCCCTGAGCCTCACTGGTTTCCCTTTTGCTGTCCCCCACAGAAGAGCGTGCTCCAGCTGCTGCACTCCAAGAGCGAGGTGGTGCGGCAGTACATGGCCCGGCTCCTCAACGCCTTCGCGTCCCTGGCGGAAGGTAAGATGGCAGCTTCCTTCCAGGGAGGAGCTGGGTCTGCCGATGTGATTTTTTTCCCCCTCTGAAAATGGACATTCCTCTCCCAGCTTCTTAGAAATGATATGTGTGTCCACCATTTATTAATGTCTCTAGGTCCTTTGTGAAAATTATTGTCGTATTTCTGTAGTTTACATCAGGGTGATTGTGTATGGTTTGGAGTCTTTTTTTTTTTTTTAAATATGTATTTATTTGTGCATACAAGAACTGGGGTATAGGCCAGAGGTGTGGGGTGGGGGTGAGAGGATCCACAGAGACAGAGTGGGGAAGAGAACAGGCAGACTGACTGAAATCCACTGCTGAGGGGAGCAGCGGGGAGACAGGAGAGGTCTGCTACGCCGTGTGGGTCAGCTCCCCGACCGGGGATTGAACTCATGCTGCAGCGGCTATGGATAGCTTCATAGTGCTGCGTCTTAACCCCTTGTGCCACCAGGGAGGCAAGCCTCCTGGTTTTGTAAGTTGGGATTGCTTTCAGGTATGTAACTGGTGATGCCTTTCTTGAGCTTTCTATTTCAGGTAAAATAAGATCAGCAAAACAATTGAAGCTGATCTCAACAAGCATTGCCCCATTTCCTCGACAGTCTGTAACTCCTTAAATTAAGAGGATTTGAAAATTGCAAAGATAGCCTGCCGTCATAACTGAAAGAAATCAAGATGAATTCACAAAGTGCCGTTTTAGTCCATAGGTTCTCATTAGCTTGAGCTCATTTTTTCCCAAGTTGAGATATAGTTGACATTTAACATTTGTTTCAATTTACAGGGTGATTTAGTTTGTATATATTGTGAAAGGATCCCCACAGTAGGGCTATTTCACATCGCCCCACTGAGCTTTGTCACATGACTAGAGAGAGTTTTCAGATTAAGAATATATGCTAGTCCCAAAGTTTGTTGATTCGCTCATCTGCTCATTCCATGTAGCTGCATCGAAGTAACTGGCATTTATTAAGCCAGGGGGCGTGCCCGGAACCATTCATATAATTCTATGGAAATTTATGGCTGCATCAGTTTTGTCTGTATCAAGACACAAGGCCACAATAGCCCAGTTACGATTTGAGGCTTGTTATAGGCTCCCAGGAATGGCTGCCAACTTCATCTCCCGGCCGTGGGCTTGTCTAGAAGGAGAAGGAAGGAGGCCAGAGAGCGTTACTTGGCTGCCTCTATTGTAAACTCTGAGAGGCTTAACCCATGGATTCCCCTCCCCCTCTCCTTGCAGATGTGACTTAGGGGTTCAAGATTGCAGGTAAACAAAAGATACCATTCCCCACAAGAACACAGCAAGGAGTTCAGTTGAGATGACAAGAAGAGTGGGCTTCGTTCATTAAATAGATGATTGAATAAAACCAAGTTTGCAGAAGAAAATAGCTCTTAAGACTTTTAAAACATAAAATTACCCAGATGCTGCATGTGTTACATGCGAAGTCTTCATGGAAAGTGGCTTTGAAGTATGAACTTAACTCAGATGAATCTTTGACGCGCTCATCTCTGCGTGTTTCCAGGTCGCCTCTACCTCGCTCAGGACGCTAAGGTGCTGCGGATGCTGGAGGAGAGGCTGAAGGAGGAGGACAAGGACGTGGTCACCCGGGAGAACGTCCTTGGGGCCTTGCAGAAGTTCAGCCTCAGGTGCGGTGTAGAGGCGCTTGGTCCCTCCGTGCTGCCAGACGGCGCTCCATCCCGCGGCGGGCCCCCGCTTTGCTGTCCACTCGCTTGTCAGTTAGGAATATTTGGGGTGTTGCCCCTTTTCGGCTACTATGAACGATGGGGCCAGCAACACTCGTGTCCAAGTCTGTGTGTGGACGTCCGTCTTCCTGCTTCCCGGGCGGTGTCTGGGACGCTCGCGGCCACCCACCCTCTCTCTGACTTAGTGAGAATTCCAGTGCTTCGGGCCTTCGGCTCCTTCTCACTGTCCCCCACGGCTGACACTTTCCTCCTGTCGGCTGTGGTCGCCATTTCACCAGTCTCCTTAGTAACCTGACGCCCGCGCGTGACACATTCCGAGCGTGTGTGCTTAGTGGGGAGAGTGCTGGGCCCTGAGTTCCTACTATTGCCAGGTCCCTGTTGGTGGAAATTTCTTGTTCTAACGTATGAGCGGAAGGGAACTGTACGTAATCTCTACAGTTAACACTTCCTCGGGTGGCCTGAACGCACCATTTCTGTTTATCATGGCAACTCAGTTTGATGCGGACTGTATTTGGAAATGTTTTAGAAATTCGGTAACTGTAATTAAGGAACAGAGATAAGATATGGTGAAGAAACACTTCTTTCTGGAAAGGTGGCTGTTTCTGCCAGTTTTTTCTTTTCTTCCAAACGGTGATTTAATCTCTTCTCTTCTGGGAACCTGCTTAATGTGTTTCCCAGGGTCCTGCGCTGAATTGGAAGCAGCCAGGTTTGCCAAGAAAGCAGTGTCAGTGGTGTTCTCCTAAGTTCTAGTGCGGTCGGGTGGGTGCAGCACCTCAGAGCAGCATGGCAGGCTCAGTCTGGGGGTCTCTGTCGCCTGCTAATTGGGGGGTGTGCAGCAGTGATTCCTCCATGGGGTCTGGGTTTTCAGATAACTTCTTGTGGTGATGCCACCCGAGTCCATCCGCTCCCTAGGGCATCACGATGCCCCGCGCCAGAGCGCACTGATGAGGCACTGGATTTCTGACATTTATACCTGGGCTTCAGGAATAAAATAATTCCATGTAAATAATTCCATATAAATTGTATTACCCAGGTCATTAAGCTACCCTTAATTTGTAGGGAGCTGAATCATAATTAGGAGTGGATTGTTTGCTTTTGTTTCTCTTGATTTCTGTACAGTTCAATGTACCTAAGCTGGATTATATAGATTAGAATTTAGTAAAAATCTGCTTTCCCATGAACTATTCTGTGGCTGCTTCCTGGGCTCAGTAGCCTAAGAACTATCAAACAATATTTGTTAAATATTTAAAGTAACATTTTACTTACTGCTTATTTTGAATATTGACAAGGAAACATTCAAAGTGGGCAGCCTTCTTACTGCCTTGTCCTTTCTTAAGCCCTTAATAATATCCCCGAAAGGAAAGAATTTGTGGTTGTAGTTTATGGTCTAACAATTAACTACTCCTCAAGCCTGCGTCTTCTGTGCAGTGTAGCCGTGCTCACATGCTTCCCCATTGCTGTGGCCCCTGCGCGAGCCGTTGCTGGCCAGCGCTCGTTTACCTGCGGGCTGTCATTGCGTCCCAGGCGCCCGCTGCAGACGGCGATGATCCAAGACGGCCTTATCTTCTGGCTGATCGATCTCCTGAAGGAGCCTGACTGCCTGTCCGACTACACGCTGGAGTACGCCGTGGCCTTACTCATGAACCTCTGCCTCCGGGGCGCAGGTGCGGTCTTCTCAGCTCTGACCCCCCCCACCCCCAGGTGCTGTGGGGGAGGGGAGAGCCCGCCCCTCCTCTGGCTGTGCAAGGAGCCTGGTGTGGCCTCCTTTAGTGTCCCTCTGGGAAAGCTGCAGACAGAAGGAGAGTGTCGAGCATTTCCAAGTACAGTTAAAGCTGTTGAATCACTGACACCAAAATACCATTCTGGCCTCAGAAAGAATATTTTATGTACACGTAGTGCTCACATCAAGAGGAAATGCGTTTACACTCTTCTTCCTCTTCACGGCATTGGTGGAAGATAGGAAGTTGGGCAGGCTGAAGATTCAATGGGACTAGGCTGGTGGCAGGGCAAGGATATTAAACTACGCTCCCTGCTCTCAGTCACTGCGTCTCCCCATCTCCCTTCCACCTGCAGATCAGGGTTCTCACAGGGGCTCACAAGTCCCTGGTCTCCTTGACCTTTAAAGGTGTGATTTTAGCACTTCTGCAGCTTCCGTCCCACTTCTGTGACCTGTTACCTGTGTGAGGGAAGTGTCTTTAGAAGGGGTGCCGGTTCAGCCTGTGGCTCCCTTGATCTAAGAGGCCTGTTGGTGTTGGGAAGAAGCAGCACCTGGACATGTAGCTCAGGGGTATCTCTTCGAAGCTTCTTCACCCTCAGATGCTTAGTCACATTGACAGGAAATAGCTATTCTTTGAGTCTTCTCTTTTCACAAGCAGCACATGCAGAAGCATCTATCAGATTATAATCCACTTTTCTTAATTCCACGGTCTGCTGGAATCTCCACCAGAGTGTCTGGTTTCTAGGACGGTGCCGCATGCACCTGCATGGCGAGCTCTTTCCCCATCTCGAGGAGTTCTAGGCCTGCCCCATGCCCAGCTCTCAGTGCCAGGCTATTCCGAGCTAAATCCGCATCTCCCTTGGAGGCAGGTGTTAGGAATCCCCATTATAAAGAGGCAGAAACGGGTTCAGTGATTCACCAAGTTCACAGCTCCTAAGTAGAGGAACCCAGATCTCTCTCCCTGTCTGCACAACTTGAGGCTGCTGAGTTAGACATGTCATGCTTTGTTTTACTGTTTCTGTCCTACAGGGAAGAACATGTGTGCCAAGGTGGCAGGCCTCGTGCTGAAAGTTCTTTCGGATCTGCTTGGTCATGAGAACCACGAGGTACTCAGCACCGCTGGCCCTGGGCGGGGTGGAAGCTGGAAGCTGCTTCCACTCTTTTCTGATTTCGGTCCTGGAGCTCAGAAGCAGGGTTTGTCCTCCGCTCCCCGCCGACCAGCCCTCCGCCATCACTGGCCTGTGCCGGGCTGCTTTTCTCCTCCTCCTCTGCCCCTCCTCAAGCCTCTCCCCAGTGACATCCTCTGTGTCTTTCCTATATGTCTGTGGTCGTGCATGTTGCCTGGAAACATGCATCAGTGTGAGTGTTTAATTTTTAGGCAACATTGCACCCCAGGTCCCATTCTTTTATGGTCATTTTCCACAGTGTTTTTAGGACCTTTCTCTGTCCTTCTACCTCATTAATTTTCACGACTTCAAAGCGTCCCCTCATGTGCCCCTCCCTGTCTATTTACCCAGACCTCCAGGGATGTCCACTCTGGTGTCTCAACTCTCTGCTGCCCCAGGGGTCTGTGGTGCAATGGCGGCGTCTGACCCATGGGGCCCATGTGCAGCTTCCCTGGGGCGCCCCGCGCTCAGCACTGCCCCCTCACCCCACGTCAGCTGTGGGTCTTGCCAAGTGGCCACAACGACTTATGCCCTCATGAGAGTCCACCCCAACACTAGTGTGATTTTCTAAGTTTTCTAGCCCTTTTTTAAGTAGAGGCTTGGATGAACTCAGTAACCAAAACTCACACACAGAATGATATTGCCTCTCCTGCCTTCTGCAGATGCCTTTGCAGCAACCACGGCATTGCTTTGCATCTGAAGTCAAAACCTCGACAGAAATCCAACCTCTTTAACCAGATGAGGTATAGGGCGTCTTAGCAGGACAGGACCGAGCACCTGGGGTGAAAATGAAGCACTGGTCTCCCATGTCCCCATGTCAGTCAGACAGAAGGAGTGTCAAGCATTTCCAAGTAGGAATAAAGCGAATTGCTTTCACCCCTTCCGTTCCTGCGGCCCGTCCACCCCCATGCGGGCTGCTTGAGCCAGTGACCTGAACAAGGTCCTTCTCTGTTTTATTCAACCCAAGCACAGGAAGCCTGCAGGAAATACACTCTTTTGACTAATGGTGAGGGCTGGCTGCAAGGCTGGATCTCCTGTGCTGGGCCTGAAACTGAATAGGCCAAGCCTTCAACTCATGCCATTAGGTGTTGCCAGTGCTTTTGTTTTGAGAATGAGCGTGATGATCTACCTACATATATACTTCAGAGATGTATTTACTGTGCAAGCACATACTGCCTGCGTGTGTCCAGTACAACAGTGTGGCTTTGAGAGATGAGGCCCAAAAACCATAAAGAAAAAGAAGGGTATATTTGGCTATATGAGCATAACTGTTTTGTAGAGAAGAAGAGGCCATCATCGAAGCAAGAAGACAATGAATGACATGGCAGAAGTTTAGCATCCCTAATATATGAAGAATGCTTTTAATTGATAAATAAAAGTCAAACCAAAAAACATGGATAAAGGACAATTTACAGAATAGTAGATCTTGGTGGCCTATAAACATGAAAAGATGTTCCACCTTGCTAGTAGTCACGGAAATGAAAATAAACACAAGTTATGAATTATAGTTTGCTTCCCCCCCCCCACCTTTTTTTTAACTTATTTTTTAAAACTCAGTAGGTTGGCAAAAATTAAAACCCAGGGAGATGAGCCCCTGGGTGGAGAGGCTGCAGCACACAGCCCATCACGGGGGCTGGCATTTACCAGATACTGCATGTCCCGTATGCCATGCTGGCTTGAGAGCGGGGTTACTGTTGTGAGTAAAACAGTGGTCCTGTCTTCAGAGAGCTCAGAATGGGGCAAGCAGAAGTAGAAGTCTGAAGTGACGCTGCATCCAGGGGGGTGGGGGTAGAGGCCGGAGGGGATGGTGATGTCTAAGAGGTGGAGCACAGAGCCCGCTGGCTGGTCAGGAGAGGCCCCAGGGGGTTCCTCTGAGCTGAGTTTTTAAGGATGGACAGCGTGTCCAGATAGACGGGGGGGGGGAGCCCTCCCAGCAAAGGGACCTGCAGGAACCAGGCCCCAGTGTGTCTGTGTGGCGGGAGGATGGCCACTCCCTGGCCAGGCTCTGTGCTGTGCTGTGCTGGGCTGCTGGGGCTTTCCAGGTGGGCTCCATTGAGGTTTCCCAGGTAGAGAGAGGGCTGAGTGGGCACATGGTGTGGAATTTTGGCCACAGTATGATGGTTGAAGTGTGAACAGGGAAGGCAGGGGGCTGCGTCAGGAGATAGCTATAGCCTAGATCCTGGACAGCAGTGTCTGAACAAGGACAGGAGGGTTCTAGATGGCTCCGAGACTTATCTGGGAGAGGGAGAGAGAAGCAGAGCTGGTGCCCCCACAGGGCCTGGCCTGAATGAGCGCAGGGCTAAATGAAGATGCAAGTTAAGCAATGAAGCACGGCAGGACCAGGCCTGGGAGGGGAGGGTGGATTCAATTTCGAACTCTTCGTTGTCACTGGGAGGTGCAAATCGAGTGTCCCTGGAAATGCACCCGGAGCTCAGGAGCGCTGAGAAGAGGGCGGCTCCACGCTGCTGCTCAGCCAGCTTGCTGTCAGGTGTGGTGGTTGATAACTGAGGTGCACAGTATTTGAGAACCTGCAAATGACTGTTTTTTTCTGCCCTTAAAGATACAGCCGTATGTGAACGGAGCCCTCTACAGCATCCTCTCCATCCCGTCCATCCGTGAGGAGGCAAGAGCCATGGTAAGGAAATGTGCCTGAGATGTTTCAAAGCTTTTCTTAGTGCCAAACACAGAGACTGTTAGATAAGGGGCTGCAGGGAAGGGCTTCAGATAGTTTATAGACTCCCTGGAATTGTCTGCCAAGTTTTCTGAGGAGAGAGTCTGTTGCTTTTATCAGCTTTAAAAGGACCCTTTCGCTCCCACATGATTTCAAACCACAGTGTCAGAAAGTTCCCAGCAGGGAATTTTTGAAAAAAAGTAGACTCTTTTTTTTTTTTTTTTTTAATTTAGTTTAAATGACTCATTTTGATTTGGGCCTTTGGGGATGCTTAGGGATTTTCAAAGCTTAACAGGAAAATGAAGCAATGGAGTAAATCTCCACTCAGTGTCCCCTCCAGGTTCCTGGACGAATGGCGGCCACAGTGAGGATGGGCACAAACAAGCAAAGCACTGGAGCCACAGACATATGGTAGTGACCATGCGGGACAGAAAAGCTGGTCAAGATGACAGAACTACCTGGTGTTTGGTTAGGTTGGTAGTGAATTCACGTTAAATACAGCTCGTTAAGACACGTATTTAAAGTATAAAGCCTCAGGTGATCGACCTCACCTGTTTCGATGAAAAACGTTTGCACATCTAATCAGCAAACCCACAAAAGTTGCCCTTTTCCTCCCCTCTGAAGCCAGGTTAGCAGAGTGTGCGTGTGAGTCATGCTGCAATGCAAAGGTCGTGTATGTTTGTGAAGCCAAAACACAAGCTGAATTCACTTTGAGACCCACAAAACATGTTCTTCCAGTCGCTTTTGTTTGTTTGGAAGAATTACTAAATCTTCTAATTGGTTTAATTGGTCATCTATGGTTACACCAGATAATACTGGCTTAAGAACCATTTTGTGTGGTCACAGTAAACAGTGGAGCTTAATTGTTACTGCTTTTAAATAAGAACTCTGCTTTTTCAATACAGAACAGAGGAGAATAAACTTGATTAAGTTCCCCATTGTGATTCAGGTGAAAGAGGGATGGTCAGCCAAGTCAGAGAATAAAGAAGGGAACATATAGACCGACGAGAAAGAGTGGAGGCAATACGGAGTCAGAGTGGAAGGCAGCCTGGAGGACAGACATACGGGGCAGAGGGACGGAGGTGGCAGGAGGAAAGGGCAGTAAAGGGGCAGGGGCTCAGTGGGGCAGCACAAGAGCACGACATCCTTAGAGCCCCTCCAAGCCAGGAGAAAAGATGGAAGAAAGGCTGAGCCTCAGAGACCTGTGCCGCAGTAACGAGAGGCCCAATACATGTGTAACTGGAGTCCCAGGAGGGGTGGAATGAGATCAGCCACAGAAAGAGGGCTGAATCAATGACGGTAAAATTTATTGACAAAGAGAAACATAATAATGAGGCTTCTAGGAAATTCCCAGTGTTTGGAAATCAGACCACATACCTGTAATAGCTACCTGCTGCTGCATAACAAACGACCCCACAGCTTAGTGGCTGAAAAAAAAATTTAATATCTCGTAGTCTCTGGGACAGAAGTTGGAGAGCAAATTAAACTGGATGGTCCTGCTAAGAGTGTGTCCTTAGACTATAATCAAGATGCCCACCAGGACAACTGAGGCTTCACTAGGGCTGGAGACTCCGCTTCCAAGCTCACTCACATAGCTGCCTGTGGGTGGGGGACCTTTCTGCCTTGACACATGGGCCTCTCCATTCAGATGCTCCAGACATAAGCCCAGGCTTCCCCCTCTCCCAGTGAGTGATTCCAGAGAGACAGAAAGTAAGAAGATGGAAGCCTCAGCATCCTTTATGCCCTAATCTCAGTAGTGTCACCCAGTCACTGTCATTCTGTCAGTTACATGGACCAACCTGGCACAGTGTGGGAGGCGACCACGCAGGAACGTGAATTCCAGGAGGTGTGGGGAATCTTTGGGGGCCTTCTTGGAGGCAGGTTCCCACAAACTCCTGTCACACAGGGGTCAAACAAGGAAATTAGGGGTTCTTAATCTGTTGACATATAAATCAAGTATTTACTGGTAAGTATTTACTAAAACTTTCATTTGTTTTTGTTTTTTTTATTATGGTTTTTTGGGGTCATATGGCAGCTTTAATAATTGTCAAATCTGCTAACATTTTCCTGGCCTAAGTTTCTAGACAGCCTCCAATTGTTGATAAAGTATAAGTAGCACAACCCTCCCTCTGACATTTTAACAGGGATCAAAGATAAGCTAATGAAGGAGCTTTTGGATGTTCACCAAAGCTGTTGCCTATTTCTTTATAAAGCGGGGCCTCTAGGGGAGGCTGCAGCCTCAGTAGTTCTTAAACCCTGAGATTTCCTTGTTTCGCTCTTCCCCTTGAGGAGTTTTTTAGATCGACAAAGGTGTGGCATTCTTCTGCATATAAACAATAATGAAGGAACCCAGGCATGAGGAAGATGTCCTCCACTCGGGGTGCATGCAGAGCTGGGTCTGACCCTGTGGTGCAGCCTTCCAGAAGGCAGTCAGGCTGCACATGAGAAAAACCATTGAAACCTCCTCTTTCCAGATTCTTCCTTTTCCCCTGGTTGTTAATGTGGAGCAGAGCCCTGTCATGAAGTTACTCATTTCAACATTTTATAATAGCAAAAGAACAGAACACAAATGTCTGGTACTAGTGGAATTGCTAATGAAATTATGGCTCTTTTGCCCCAAATATTAATAGCTATTGAAGATGGTAATTAGGAAAAGCAGTATGGAAATTTTTTTATTGTATAATGAGGGATAAAAGCAGATTATGACATAAGAACTGTGGAAAACATTTGCATGCTTGTGGAAAATGACAAAGAAGACAAAATTATATTAGTACCAAATGCTTTCATGGTGGCCTTAAAATAATACCAAGAAAATAAGATAAATGAGGACCCTGAGGCCAGCCAAGGTCTGGTCTGGAGAGCAGATCCCAAGGGTGCCCCATGCCCATCAAGCCTCCCATGTCCAGGGCTGGAGTAGATGTTGGCCATGGAGCTCCTCCCAGGGCCCTAAAGCCCAACATCCCCCCCAGACTGGATCAGACCAGAAGCTCTGTCAGTACTGATGGCTCCTAAGTCCCTGGGAGAGCCAGGAGCTAGGATCAGCAGCCACACGGCCAGGAGGGATGCCCCACAGCCCACTCCAGTGTTGCCGGATATCCTGTCTCTGCTGTCCCTAAGTGTCAGATGCCACTGCCACCCGCCTGCCCAAAAGACGTGTGTCCCCATGTGAGGATTCTTCGCAGCGCCCATTGTCAGGTCTATCACAGATGGGTATGTTTGGCAGGACCTGGGCCATGTTACTGCACCCTAGCTGCAAGGGAGGCTGGGAAAGCTAATATTCTGGCTGCTGCTTAAAAAATGGGCACAAAGTTGGCCTATGATTTTAAATACATAATTTGTTCCTATAAATTGTCAGTAAAAGTAATAAATCAAAAAAAAAAAATTGGGCACAAGGGACAGAAGCTGTTAAAATGTGTTTGCCAGCTACAGTCCAGCAAGGGCCCTACCACTGGTGAGCCTGTTTGCTGGATTCCATGGCATACATTCTGGGGCACCTTTCAAGATTAGTGTGGAAACCTTACCAAGAGGATTATAAATTGGTGTAGCTTTTTTTTTTTTTTTTTGACATGTTTAGCAATGTGTATAATAAGCCTCAAAAATATTCACAGTTTTGGCCCCGTATTTCTGCTGCTCATGGTCCATACAAAATATGCACAGAGGTTTATGCACCAGGATGTTTATTACAGCATTACTGAGCATAGTGGAACATAGGAAATGACCTAGACATCACACATTAGGGGAATGAGGGATGAAGTCAGGTCGGGGGAAGGGAGACATGGGGAAAGGCAGGGCTCTGAGCCTGAGGCCACTTTTGACTGTTGCCTCTAGGTCTTCCCAGTCCTGTGTCACTGGGCCACTGACTTAAGCTCTCAGTGTCCACAGTTTTCATGTGTAGGATGGGGAGGATCGTAACACCAAACTCATAAAGTTATTTTGAGAATAAAATAGCTAATGCATACAAAATGTTTAAAATTGTGCCTAATACATAGTCAGCATCGAAAAACATTAGCTATTACTACAGTTATTAGTATATTATTTGTAAAGTTTATATTGACACATGGAAATGACCATAAAGTTGAAAAATAATGAGGAGCATTACATTAGCAATAGGATCTTAGCTATGTAAAGTGATAATGAACTATCTGGAATGTTCCCAATGATCTCTGAGTGTAGGAGCTTGTAATTTTTCTTCTTTTTTTTGATATACTTACAAGATTTTCTACAGCGAACCTGTGTAGCTTTCATAACTAACTGAATACCTACTTGAAACAGATACTTCCATTTCAAGGGGGAAATTTCCTTGAGGACCTTTCATGATATAAATCTAGACTGTTCAGGCTGGTAGAGCGCTGGCTTGCTGGGGGTGGAGCAGTGAGTTATGAATTAGCTGGACTGTTGGTGTATGGTAGGCTCTGTGGAAGGTGCTTTATCTCATTTAATCCTCCCAAAGCCTCCCTCCTGGCCTCCCCTCCACCAAGGAGTGATGTGGTTGGTCCATTCTGCTGCTGAGGAAATGAGGCCTAGACCCCAACTCCTTGGCGGAGTCACCTGGCCGCCCTGACTGCCCAGCCCAGCAGCTGCTCCAGAGCACCCCACCCATGCCAGGGGGCGGCTGCAGACTCTGGCCGGCATCCCCTGGGCATGCACCTGCCGGGAAATCTGGACGCTACCACTCATTTCTCTCCTTCACCGCGACAATGCAAACATTCTTCTGTATGACCATCTTTATGACGGTCTTTATCCTCGGCGAGCTGGCGGGAGCACCACTTCCTTATTTGCTTTGGCTGGCTGTCCACCTTCCTGTGCACACGCGGGCCTGGCGCAGCCACCTGACACCCTTCGCATCTGCCTTGGTGCTTTCATTTGACCTGGCTTATCTGAAGTGACAGCTTATTACCTTCGTGATAAAATGTTATTTTAACGACTCATTATTCCTATGATTACACTTCAGATGAAACCTTTTCTAGTATGGATGGCTTTTTAAAAAATGTGTGAACCATCTCACTGGGGAATTTTCTCTTAAGAAATCTTCCCCCAAGAAATGCAAATCAAAACTACCTTGAGATACCATCTCACACCAGTGAGAATGGCACATATTAAAAAAACTAGCAACAACAAATGTTGGCGAGGATGTGGAGAAAAAGGAACTCTTGTGCACTGTTGGTGGGAGTGCAAACTGGTCCAACCACTATGGAGAGCTGTGTGGAGATTTCTGGACCTACTAAACATAGAGCTTCCATATGATCCAGCAATTCCACTCCTAGGTATTTACCCAAAGGACACAGAAACATCAATTCCAAAGAGCACCTGCACTCCTATGTTTATAGCAGCACTGTTTACAATAGCTAAGCTTTGGAAACAACCCAAATGCCCAAAAATAGATGACTGGATCAAGAAGATGTGGTACATAGATACCATGGAATATTACTCAGCAATCAAAAAAGATAAACACATGCAATTTGCAGCAACATGGATGGCACTGGAAGGGATCATGCTCAGCGAAATAAGCCAAAAAGAAAAAGAAAAATACCGGATGGTCTCACTCATAGCAGGAATCTAGAAAACTTAAATAAGGGACCAGGAAAATGAATATAAGAAAGTGAAAATCAAAATCAACAAAAAACCATGAACCAGAGACACTTTTTGGGGGGTGGGGGGCGGGAGGGGAAGGATTGGGGTCAGAATGGGGCGTTTGCAATTGTATGGGGGAATATAAAAATAAAATTTAATATTAAAAAAAAAAAAAAAAGAAATCTTCCCCCAAGCAATACTTCTAATTACAGAGAAGGATTCCCCCCCAATTCCACCCCAGTATATAGTAATTGAGCGAGAGATGCATAAAAGAGAGCAAATGAGAATAACAAGATCTTTATCTGAGCAAGTCAATCATTTGCACAAGTAGCCTCTGGGAAGAAAGTGCCAGAGGAGGGCCTGACTAAATTGTTTGTCTTGCTCCACTGGTGACAGTGGTAAGATATCCACCGTGATCCTGACAGTTGGCAGTTTGCATTAGCAAATGGCGTTCACTTGCTGGTGATAGTGTTCTGTCCTGCCTGGCCTTTATTTGGCCGGGGATGGAGAACATGGGAGGACATCAGCTGATGAGGTAGAGACATGAAATTCAGCTTTCCTGAGATTGGAGGGCCTGTTTCCTCAGTCAGACAAACCCGGGTGTCTAGTTGTACAGGAGCCCCTGCCCCTGCTGGCCACGACCTCTCTGAAAGGCCCCCCACTGGACACAAGGGCCTCCGAGGCCACTCTTCACCCTCCCCTCTGAGGGCTAACCTGTCTCTGCGTGACAGTGAAACATTATTTTTCTCTAAGGCTCTGTTACCTCTGCAGTCACCAGGGCACCTGCTTATTTCCTTGCCTTTGGTTCCCAAAGCTGTTTTCTGAGCCACCAGCCCCTTCCAGACACAGCAGGGACAGTGTTGCCCATTATTAAGCATCTAGCCAGTGCCATTCGGTTAGATGCTGGTTTTCTAGGTGTAACTAATGAACAGTAAAATACTCAGGCTTTACAATTCAATGCATTTGACATATGTGTACAGCTGTATAACCAGTACCCAATGACATACTTTATCTTTTATTGTATTGTCATCCTCATTTGATAATTGAGGAAACAGGCTGGGAAGAGTTACTTGACCCCAGTCACCATTAACTCATGGGGGAGTGAGGTGATGAGAGCTCACCATGTTCAAAACTGCACTTGGCACATCTGCTCTGATTCAGTTAGAGCTTTGATTCCAAACTGAAAAGCCCAGGGATAGGCTTCAGGCACAGCTTGATCAGGATTCACACTGACCATTCTTTTGCCAGTACTTTTGGACTCTGTTTTCTCTGCTTTGCGCTCATTATTTGATACTTTCAAATACGGTAGCAAGAAGCCTTATCAGCTCCAGCCACGGTTCACATTCCACAGGAGGAAGGAGAGCAAATAGACTCTTGTGCTTAAGTTAGTATCTTACTTCTACAGTTCCCTGGAATTGTGTTTGTCAGTGTTGATAATTCTGTCAGAATTTTGTAATACAGAAATAATGTATACTCTACTGACAGAGTTCTTTTGCTAGAAAAGGAATGCTGGCCATTTAAAAAGAGGTTCTGTTGTTTACTTACTTCTCTGAACAGACGGTTTTACATTTCAAAGACTGTATTTGGTCCCGAAATCCAGAAGGCAGTGTATAAAAATCTAGGGGACACACAGCAAAGAAATCACCTCCCCACACAATATACTGCTGAAACTGAAGGGAACACTTACAAGGTAAAATTTTACAACAGTTTGGTTTTTTGTTAAATATGCTGTAATTAGGTCAGATAGTTAACCAATAAAAAAGTCATTTCACTGTGAATTATAAAAAGAACAAAAAAATGTTTAGTACTGAGTAGAGGAATTTTCATTGTATACATCCCTTCTCCCCAAGAAAAAAGAAAGGTTTTTTGATTAGACGAAATTTAATGAAATTACCACATTGAAGAGTAATCCTTCCCTCCCCCCCCAAAAAAAAACCCCAAAATGTTAACTATTATGCTCTCCAATGCATCTAGGGAATGGAAGACATCCTTCGCTGCTTCATCAAGGAAGGTAACGCTGAAATGATCCGCCAGATCGAATTTATCATCAAGCAGCTCAATTCAGGTTTGTTGAATGCAAAAAAATCTATGCTCTATCTTTTGAATTTTCACATATGCCAGAAAGATACATGGGATTTTTTCGAGGCACTTGTCGTATCTTGGAATTCATTCAGGTGAGCCCAAGTGAACCCACACACAAAAGTTGGACGAGGTGGTCAAGGCCAGGTAGTCCCGAGTTCAACAATCTCTCAGCATACTTTACGCTCACAGTCAGAAAAAGAATTTCGAGCCATTCTAGAATACACATTCGCTCTGATTCTCTAAGTCTCTCCCCTCCTCGTGACAGTGCCTTCCCCAGACACCTGGGATCAGATCATGAAAACAGATTCTGGTTTTTCCAGCACCCACGTGGACAGTGTCCTGATCTCCCCACATCCATTCACTCCAGACAAAAGCAGATTGCCAACTAAGAGGAGGCAATGAGAACCCCTGCTCTCCAGCTTCCTCCGTGACCATAACAACCCACATTCCATACCGAGCATGAAAGGAAGTTGAGGGAAGCCTTGGGCAGCACAGGTTGGTGGGGAAGCTCTTTCTGTGAACTGACACCTTGGTCCTGACCCGCAAACATGCCGGGGGCACCTGGCACTGCCAGCATCTGGGGCCAAGTTTGCCACTTGCAGCTCCCTCCCGACACCCAGCAGGTAAATCCAGGTAAATCTGTGCACATAAATCCAGGTGCACAGACGCTGCCCAGCATGAGGAAAGTAGCCAGTGAGGCTCCTGACCTGTACTCTGCACTTGACAGCTGGAGCAAGGCCAAGCAGAAGGGAGCCAGCCGCCTGTAGCCCTCATGTCCCGGGAGGAGGCCTGCGGGTGGCTCTTCAAACCCATGTTCACAGCCGGCTGCACAGGGCAGTCGCCTGGGGGATTTGAACCCCTCCCCCCCCAGCCCGCAAATTAAACCAGAATCTCTGGGAACGACCCAGGTGCGAATAGTCTTTACAGTCCCAGGGGACACCAACAGGCAACCGAGGGGACACATCCTGCCTCAGCCCAAGCAGAAAGGGGGAGACGATGTTGGAGGGGGTCCTGCTCCCCCGGAGGCCGTGGGTGCAGCGGCCTGTGTGGGCTCCCTGTCGTCACGGGCCACCCCCTCTGTGGCTCACGGAGCAGGTCTGCTTTGACCCAAGTTCCGGTGGGCGAGGAACAGAGCTTTATTTTCTACGACTTTGTCTCTAACTTCGAGCCCCATCCCGCTGGCCTGCATGATAAAAACAATGAATGGAAATAAGCCCTTAACCGCAGCCCTGGCTGAGGTGGCTCCCTAACCTCTCTGCGTGGGCCAGGCTTTGGGAGGCAGCGGGATGTGGGGAGAAGCTGTTCCCTGTCTGCACCGGGCCGCTGACTGTCCTGAGACCTCCCCCGGGCCAGGGCCCTGCAGCTTCAGGGTCACGTTTGGGCTGGGCGTTTGCTTCAAGCCGACCCTGTTCGCCCCGTGGAGACACACCACACACGTGTCCTTGCCAGTCTCCCTCCTTCCTGGCAGCCACAAAGCAGAGCGAGAACACCTTTGCTCTCCAGCCAAAAGCCAAAAAACTGCTCTTTTTTTTACCTAAGGCTGGTCCTCAGACCAGTGAGCTGAAGAATGTGAAGTCAGTTTACCATTTGGTCAGGGACATGCCTTGGCAAGTTCTTGTGGGCAGAGCTAACGCTTAACCACTTGTGTATTCAGGTAAGGCCCAGCTCAGTGGGTGCCAGTAACCAGAGTGCCTAAGGTTTGGGCTTCGTCATCGCAAACATCTGTATCCACAGGTCGTGGCAGGACCCCAGGGGCCGTTGCCCAGGAGTCTGCTGCTATGACCCCAAACTAGAAAGTCATTGAGCAGTGGGTGGGGGCGGGGGGTGGCCCAGATGCACACACACCTCCCTCATGCTGCGCCATCCACGTCAGGTCAGATGGAGTCAGTCAGTGCAGTGCTGAGACCTGGAGGAAGGGGTTCCCATCCCATCGAGTCTTCTCAGTGGGAATCAGCGGCAGAGTGTGAAGCTGTAGTGGTTTATTAGTCAAGGCTGGAAAGACATCGCCATCATCTGTGTTTAGAGCATTGACTTTCTTGTTTCAATTTAGTGAACATAAAACATGTGTTTGGGTTTTTGTACATTCAAGGTCAACCTCAATCCCCTAGAGCTATTTTCCCAAGGCAGTTTTAAAGTCTTCAAGTATAAAAATCCCAGGTGAGGTACCTGGAGCCACAGGGAGGAAGGACTGCTCTGAGGAAACCTGAGGCCCCAGGGGGCACAGGACAGGCAGAGGGGAGCCGCTGACACTGACCGGCCACCAGAGGGGACAGGGAGACCTTAGAGGTCACGGGGCAGGAGCAAGGTGGCAGGTCCCACAAGCAAGGACTACCCTTGGCCCATGCCTGTTAGGTGTTGGATTGAGGGCACCTCATGGGGTGCTACAACCCAGGCAGCAGTGTGGAAGCAGGGGTGGTGTCCCCATCATCCCAGAGAGCAGGGGCTGAGGAGCTACTTCAGGTATCAGCCCTGGAATGTTCTGGGGAGCTGGGTGGGTCTGGACCAGCAGGCTTAGTGGAGAGGATGTGGCTGGTCTGGCCTGTGGCCTCGTGAAATGTTTGAGATGCATTTTAAAAAAGGGTTTTTTGGCCTCCCCGGTGGCGCAGCGGTTGAGTGCTGGCTGGATTGCGAAGCTGCCCGCAGCCTCTGCAGCGCCGGTTCGATCCCCGGCTGCTCCCCGGCCACTGGAGGAGGGTCCCACATGGCGCACAGACCTCTCCTGCTGCCCGCTGCTCCCCTCAGCAGTGTACTTCGGTCCTTCTGCCTGCTCTGCTCCCCGCTCTGGCTCTGGTGAATTCTCTCACCCTCCCGCGCTTCTGACTGTATCAGTGCTTGTATAAATAAATAAATAAATCTTTGGGGGGGGGTATAAATAAATAAATAAGGGAGTTTTCTAATATGAAAATGAGAGGTTTTGGTTGGCGAGTATAGCAGCCACACCGTTTCGAAAGCCAGTCACTGAGAGTGAAATGGTGGCTGTGTCGGGCAGGCCGGGAGTAGAAGCTTGGCAATTACGCATCAACCCAAAGGCAGAGGACGTCACATCACCATCTGCAAAGTGGCATTTGTAACTAAATAACATTCCAGGAAAATGGCACAGCCCACAAGAGGCGTGGAGGTGTCCCCAGAGAGTGGGGACAAGTTAGTGACCTGCTGGCCTTGGTCCAGCGAAGTCATTTCCTTGAGAATAAAAGTCTCCACAGAGGTCAACGGGTGTTCTGGGCCTTCTGCATACTCCCTTCTAGGACATGCTTTGGGTGCTTGAGTCAGTGAGTGACTGCTGCCTTCTTGAGTGTGCCAGGCAATCCCAAGAAGGGCCTTGGGACCTTCTTCCCACTTTCTGTTTGACTTTCTTTCCTGCTCTCTCAGACTTTCTTCACTTTGATGTCACCCATTCAAGAAGTGAGTGATAAAGAAGAGATGAGGAGGGTACCAGTAATTCAGGTGTCCCTGGGGACTCCCAGCCCAGCGCGGTGGGGGAGAGGCCCAGCCTGGCCAGCCTCGTTCACTCGGCAGCGGACGCGCCCGTCATCAAAATCGCTGCACACGCTCAGAGTGTTCTGGATAAAACGCTGAGCATGTTCAGGGAAAAGGAGACCTGCCAGTGAGGGGATCAGGGAAGCCTCATGGAGGAGGAAGGAGCCACCGTCTGGGTGAGGCGTGCTGTGTGCCTGCCCCGGGGCCAGGGGGGCTGAGTTCAGCGTGTTGTCAAGGCCCCCCGACCGCCCTGGGACGCAGCCTGGGTAGTAGCCACTTTACACAGAGCCTCATTTGTTCTCTGAGCCCTCGGTGCTTCCAGTGTGTCCCTCCTCTGTGGGATCCACCTTTGTAAGGTCTACCAGTGAACCATGACCCCCGCCGTCACCACTACCCCTGGCCTCTGTAGGAACATCATGGGACTTAGAAATAGACTCAGGGGGCCTCCCCGGTGGCGCAGCGGTTGAGCGCTGGGTTGCGAAGCTGCCCGCGGCCTCTGCGACACCGGCTCGATCCCCGGCTGCTCCCCGGCCACCAGAGGAGGGTCCCACATGGCGCGCAGACCTCTCCTGCCGCCCGCTGCTCCCCTCAGCAGTGTGCTTCGGTCCTTCTGCCTGCTCTGCTCCCTGCTCTGGCTCTGGTGAATTCTCTCACCCTCCCGGCTTCTGACTGTACCCAGTGCTTGCATAAATAAATAAATAAATCTTTAAAAAAAAAAAAAAAAAAAAAAAAGAAATAGACTCAGGTTGAATGTCTGGCCCGTCTCCCACTGGGAGTGTGGTCATAATCCAGCTCATTACCCTTGTTACCCTCTCTGTGCTTCCGTTCACATCTATAAAAGGCAGAGAAGAGTCAACAAACCTTTGTGAGGGTGCAGTGAAGTAGCACGTGTGGTGACCTCCAGCAGCTCTGAGCTCTGATTCCAGTTTACTTGCTTCCCTTGAATTCCTTTCAAATTATACATTGGTTTTAATTTTTCTCACACTGCTATAAATGTGTCCTCATAGAATTAGGGAGATTTGTTTAAAATTGCTTAGCATGAACTCTTTTTTTTAAAGATTTGTTTGTTTATGCATACAAGAGCTGGGGTGCAGGCCAGAGGTGTGGGGGGTGAGAGGATTCACCAGAGACAGAGCGGGGAACAGAACCGGTGGCTCTACTGAAATCCTCTGCTGAGGGGAGCAGCGGGGAGACAGGAGAGGTCTGCTGCGCCATGGGGGTAGCTCCCTGGCCAGCAGGGATCGAACTCATGCAGCAGTGGCTGCGGACAGCTTCACAGTGCTGTAGCACGATTTTAAACTCTGGAAAGGCACCAGGGACACAACAGTTTGCTGTCCCGAGGTCTCGGGTGGGGCTTGCACGTGTCAAGAGAGGCTAAAGGACTTCTTTGACGAGGCTCCCACGGTGTCACAATTATCTCTTGATTTTTTTTCTTTGTAGAAGAGCTACTGGAGGATGCTCTTGAATCTGATGACGACGAAGATGAAGATGATGAAGTAAGTTGGAAGTTCCCCACACACACACCAAATCTTTTCTGAATGTCCTCCCTACCTTGAAAAATGAGTCCGGAAAAGCGGGTTTTTAATCCGGCTGCACAATTTCCCACAATTCTGCCAGTGAGCCAGCATTCAGCTGGGTGGTTTTTCTGCTGGTGCCTGTCCGAGCTGGCTTCACCACCTCCGCGTGACCTCTGATCATTCAGTGGTCTGGCCTGGACTTCCTTCGAGGCTGGCAGCTGGGCTCTGAGAGGGAAGAAGTGAAGCTTCCCGTCCTCTTCTGGGTTCAGCAGTCCCACAGCTGCGTCTGCTCAGGGCACATCATGGGGCCAGCCCAGACTCCACCTGCAGGAGGGCTCAGGAGCAGGGCTGGCCGATGCCATGACTGAAGACCACACGTTTGGGCGGGGGTGGGGGGGGGGGCTTGTGGTCAGCAAAGAGAAGCAGCACATTTGGGGCTACGGGAGGCTGAGAGATAAGTTGTTCACCTGAGCCTCCTTGAGGGCCTGAGCCTCTGCCAGCTCTCGCAGGCAGGAATGTTGTGCGTGGAGGCTCCAGGTGAGAATCTCTGCTGTAGGATGAGTCCTGGGCTGGGTTCAGAACCCGTAAAACCGAACACTTTACTCTGTTGTTTCCACTTTTCTGGTATGGGTTTCCTCAGCTGTGAAAAATCTGCTCACCTGGTTTTTAGAGCGTGAAGATTCAGAAGTAATGTGCTGGGTCCTGTAAAATGGCAGAGAGAATGGCCACTGACCGGCTGTGGAGGGGTTTTCGGATGATGAACCTCTGACCGTTTTCCCGGCCTGGGAAATGCTCGCAGGCCGACCTGTAAGAACAGACCCTGGTTCTCTGTGCTGACACGTGACTTCGTTCTGTGGGGAGACTGGGGGCAGTTGCTGCTGAAGTGAGTGCTCGAAAGTGGATGCCTATTTGGGGCTGTGGTCTGTCAGCTCAAAGTTGCGTAAAAGCCAGGTTTTTCCTCACTGGCGGCATCTCTGTTAGGAGCCTCCTCCCCCCTCAAAGATCTGCAGGTGCGGCTCCGTGCCTGCTCTTTTCTCTGCGACCTGAAGGTGGCGGCAGCGGGTGTTCCTGCTCCCGGGGCCTCGTCGGGGCCTGGCGGGTGGGCCACCTTCTCCCAGCCGGTCCTGCCCAGAGGGGACCCCAAAGGGAACAGCCTGCGCTCACACAGAGAGCTGGTGCAGTAAAATCCGGTTTACAACCGGGGTCAGCAGACTTTTCTGTAAAGTGGAAGACATTTTTGGTTTCGTGGGCCACATAATCTGTTGTAGCACAGAGTAGCTTTGGGCAGCCCATAGCTGGGAGACCCCAGCTGTGCGTCCTTAGGACTTTCCTTATGGACACTAAAATTTTAATTTCATGTGATTTTTCTGCTTTGACCCCACTTTGTGCCTGGCCCTTCAGTACTGATTTAAGTTATATATATTTTTTGTTTGTTTGTTTGATTTTAAAGATTTATTTATGCATACAAGAGCTGGGGTACAGGCCAGAGGTGTGGGGGTAGAGGATTCACCAGAGACAGTGGGGAACAGAACAGGCAGACGGACTGAAATCCACTGCTGAGGGGAGCAGTGGGCGAGTCAGGAGAGGTCTGCCTCGCCATGTGGGCAGCTCCCTGGCCAGCCGGGAATCAAACTCATGCTGCTGCAGAGGCTGCGATTTTTTCATAGGTTTTGTCTTAACCCTTGCGCCACCAGGGAGGCCCTTAAGTTATATTTTGGGTTAGCATCTTTTTATTTAATTTCAGTAACTTCTTGTCATGGTGTCCAAAAATTCCTCTTAGTTATTTCCCCTTCCTGTGTTATTCTTTTGGGGTTTTAGTTTTGTTTGTCTGTTGTATTGCTATTATCCCTTTGTTTTGTATTTCAAGTGTTCAACCATTCTGCTAAATGCAGGGAATTCAACTTTTGGAAATTTTCCTGTGGTAAAATAGTATCGTGGTAAAATGGAAAAACCTACAGGTTTTCTCTGCAGTGTAGGGAAAAACCCAGTTCTTTCCTACTGTGCATGTCTCCCCTGTGAGTCTCCTTTACCTCACACACAAAACATTTCCCTCTGGTCACCGAACGTGTAGAAGTTTGTCCCACCCCGAGCAATTGGCTGCAGCACCAGCCAGGGGTCCCCCAGTTTAACTCAGTGCTGGCTCTGGCACCCCGCCCTTGGGTTCACAGCCCAGGGAAGCACTGGTTTGCCCGCTCATCATCGAGGACGTGATGAAGGGTGCGGGTGAATACTGAGGTGGAAAAGGTGCACAGGGAGGGCTTGTGGGGAGGCCCGGGGGGCTTCACACCTTCTCCTGTCTTGCCCCCACCCCTCCATGTGCTCACCCGCCTGGAGGCTCTTGCAACCCTGTACTTGGGGGCTCTTAGGGAGGCTTCACCCCATAAGCATGAGCTCCACTTTCAGCCCTTCTCCCTTCATGAGAGAATGGGCAGGGGGAGCTGAAAAGTACAGGCTTCCCACCATGGCTTGGTCTTTCCAATGACCGGCTCCACCAGGAGCCCCCCGCCATTCCCCCCTGGCCGCCACCCTGGACACCCCCCACACTGCCACCACCCAGGACAGGACCAGGACTGCAGGAGAACTGTGTCAGGGACAGAGGCCAAAGATCCAATGTCAGAACAAAAGACGACCTTGGTGATCTTATCACCCAGGACAGGGCAAGGGTTTTACGAGTTCTCCGCCAGGAGGAAGGCGTCACTTAACAAACCTTCCGGCAAGGGCAGGCTGCACACGCGAGGGTGACCCCCGGCAGCGCTGCACAGCCCCGAGCGCGGCGCGCTGTGCGTCCTGTGTGTGTGTGATCGCAGCCTGTGACGCTCGCACAGTGACACAGCAGCGAGGAGCTCGCCCCCGCGGCGGAGCAGTGCATGACTGTGTGGTTCTTATCACACATCCAGCATCTCAGTAATCTTCTGTAGGTGGAGGAGTATAGGATCCTTTCCTTTTGGGAATTTTTGCTACTCCACAGATTTTTTTCTTTAAGAGAGTGGTGTTTTTAAATGTTGTGATACCTAGAATCCAGAAGATTCCTAGAAGGGGTTGCATTAGGAAATCATAAGGAAAGGATCTGCCATTCAGGGTCCAGACTTGACTCTTTGTGATGAACTTGGATCACAGATCCCTGAATCTCCCCCATCACCATCCCGCTCAGGCACTGCAGGCCTCAGGGAGGGGCTGGCAAAGACGGAGGTCACCCAGTTTTCACCCAGGGCAGGTGTTACTTTTTAAATTAGAAAGAAAAAAAGTGACAGACTAAAGGAAATTTTCCAAAGATTATTTGAGCAAATTGCATGGTCATTGGAAATGCGGCTGCCACCTCCCAAGGTGACAGCCATGAAGGAGAAGGCAAAATCATTCCAGGGCCTTAGAGTTATTCGTCACCTTGCTTAGCAATGTAAAATGTTTCTAAAAATTAATATTTAGATCCAAAACAAAGATAATGGAGCCACTGTTTAGAGTTAGCTGCCGAGGGCCCCTAAGGATAAAATAGGGTGGGTCCAGAGGCCAGGATGGATTTTGCTCCTGGGCCTCACACTGAGCTGAAACCTGTGCCTTGAAACGCGGGCCCCTGGGCCTGATGCCCCAGAAATTTCTCAAGATTCCCCCACAAATGCAAGCTCTTATTTTTCTAATTTTTTAAAATGCAATTGCTAGTTCTGGTGTGTTATGTGTTGAACATACGTGTATTTATATGCAAAAAGAAGATTTTTTCCTGACTTGTAGACTGTCTAGGATGCTGTCAAATGGAGAAAGGGAAGTTGCAGAGTAACAGGAGCAAATTGGTTCTGTATGGGGAAAAACAAACATATAAACACATACCTTTTGAGTTACAGATGTGCTCATGTACACATACCTCAGTAAGGTGTGGAAAATTACATCCTCTCTGTTGACATCAGAGACTTCCGGCAGGGACTAGGGCTGAGGAAATGAGAGTGAGATGAGGAGAGGCTCGGCCGATAGGGCTGAGAGCTGCAGACTGTCTCAGGAGTGAGAAGTGAAGATGGGGGCAGTGGCCAGCGGGCAGTGACTGTACTGTCCACTGAGAGGAAAACAGCCACCTGGGCCTTAGGAGTGGGTGGGAAGCGAGAGATGGCGAGTCTTTCCTGCCCGTCCCACAAACTTGGCCTTGAGCCAGAGAACAGAGTTGGATGGTGGCTAAGGGGGCATTTTTGTTTTATTTTGGGACAAACCTAAACCTGCTCAGGGAGGATCCAGCTGAGGGGGAGAGGTTGGCATCAGAAGGATGGGTGTTTTCATTATTTTTTTATTTTATTTTATTTATTTTTGTGTAGAACTGGGATGTAGGCCAGCGGTGCCGGGCGGGGGGAGGGGGCGCAGGGAGGCGGGGGAGAGGTGAGAGGATTCAACAGAGATAGAACAGGCGGATCCACTGCGATACACTGCTGAGGGGAGCAGCGGACAAGACAGGAGAGGCCTGCTGCGCCATGTGGATCAGCTCCCTGGCTGGAGATCAAACTCAGGCTCTTGAGGTGACAGCACTGACTTAAGTTCTGCGCCACCAGGGAGGCCCCGTTATTTTCTAAATCTCTTCTTATGCTCTCTCAGCCCACAAGACCCCTGACCCATTTAAACTCCCAGGTAATAAAGCCATCACTAGACACGCTTAGTGGTACACACCAGACACACGCAAGAGAGCGGCAGCTGAAGCCCAGTCCCATCCAGTGCTTCGGAGAGACTTATTACCTAACACAATGTATTTTTATATTAAACATATGTAATATGTTACACAAAGACCTGTGGTAAATCCCAAGGCTCAGGGGCCCTGGGCTTCGTGCTCCAGCACCAGCAGCTCTTGTTTCCTCATTGCAGTTTAAGGCGCGGTTCCTTGCGGCCAGCTCATAAATAGCTTTGTAAGTGGAGACGACAGACCGTCCCATGCTATTCTATTCTGATTTCAAGACAAATATTCTCTCTTCTTAACAAAATAGGTGTAGGTTCCCCAGGGAGGCCGGCCGTGG